AAAAAAACTGACAATAGTTTTAACCTTCTTTATTTTATCCAAAACAGAAAAAAAAAAAATCTATTTTAACTTTGCAAATACTTTCATGATTTTGATGTGGGCCCCAACACACCTAGTTATGGATCTAAACAATACTTTGATAATTCCAAAGTGCAAGTGATCCTGCTATTTTTCTGATGATGGTTTTAATACTCTAGAAACGTGTCAGCAAATCCTTCCTTCAATAAAGCCTATGCAAAAATTGCAGAACATTTTTCCAGTTATCATATTATGTCCATGTTTTTTCCCCTTTAGCCCAGAATAAGCTATGAGGATCATCTGAGACACACAAGAGACACACAAGTAAGGCAGTCAGCTCACTCAGCAGTTGAATCACAAGAGAGTTACGCAATCTGACACGTGATAGTGTGAGTAAAGTTGTTTTATCAGTAGAGTACAAAGTTTCTATACACGCTGGTAGCTACTGCAACAAATAGAGCCAAAGGCTGATTTACTTTTTTCTTATCACTGTGTGAATGTATGAAAGTTATGGGGGAACAAAAAGTACATTTTGTTTAATCTCACAAAGCAAGAATTGTTTTTTTTTTTTTGTAAATTACTTATAGCTCAACTCTAGGCACAGCTATATACAGTGGTACTTCGGTTAACGAACTTAATTCGTACCACGATTCTGGTCGCGAACTGAATCAAACTGTGATCAGACCGCAATCTCGACTAGAGGAAGCCACTACCAGTGTCAGAGCAGGGAAGATGGCTGTGGTTGTGTTCGTCAACTGATGCAGAGTTCGAGAACGGAAGCAAAATTTTGCTGAACTTCTTGTTCGTGAACCAAAATTATTCACGAATAGAAGCGTTCGTGAACCGAGGTACTGCTGTATATGGACATAAACCCTCTAATTTTCTTTTTCTACTGCAGGAGCTGGTGGCAGACAACAGTTCTACTATTGTGGACCTTAGGGTGCCATAGCAACAGGGATGCCAGGTGGCCAACACAGCCACGGCTCGGCAAGGAGAAGAGGGGTGGCACAGGCTTCAGCTTTTCCTCGGATCCCCGCTGCTCTCACCCCACCTGTATTGGCAGAAGCAGCGGGGATACGAGGAGAAATGGAGCGCTGCAGCCGGTGGGGGGAGGGAGCTGTCATCCAGGATAGCCGAGCGGTGAGAAGAGACAGCTGCTTGGCCAGGATCTGACAGCCGGCAGGTCTCTCCTCACCGCTCGGCCATCCTGAAGTGACAGTGCTCCTTCCCCCCCACCCAGCTGGCTTCTGCGTTTAGGATGGCAGAGCTGAGGATCGGTATATATCACTGATATTTACCGATCCTCTGGTGATCACTCCAATGTTTGTAATCAACTGGTGACACATAGTACTATGTTTTCCCAGTTATGTATGAACAGGAAATGCTTTACATCACTTCCTGTTCATGCATGAGTTTCTCAATGGGTGGAAGCACTCACTATAGAGGCTTCTACCTATTCATAACTGGATGTGAATATTTTACTATCACCAGTTTCTGAATGAATGGGCAGCCTCTGCACTTAGTGCTTTTCATTCACTTAGAACAGATGCTGCAGAAAAAGAGATTGAGGACTCTGCATCCTCAATTTCATTTTCTATTTCAGAAGGAAATTTAAACCCCTAATATTTCCCTGAAGCCCCCCCAACATAAGTATCATATCATGTACCGGCACAGGAACTGCTACACTATCTCCAATTATTACATTACATCTGTGTATCAGGTCGATATTCCTCTAAATGGAAGAGTATGTGCACCATCCAAAATGTGTTTTGGACGAAATGAACGGTAACTAAAAATGTTTTCATTAGTTTCGTCAAACGAAACAAATTTTAATGCTATTTTGGATTTGCCCACCAGCACATTCTGCGCATGCGCCTGCCATCCTGGAGGCGGGGTCACATGACGTCACATGATACCGCTGGTGTGTGGCGTCGGGTGACATCACACGTCTGTTGGGGGGGGCACAATTTTCAGTTCTTGCCTCAGGCGCAAAAAGAGCTAGCTACGGCTCTGAGGTTAGACATGACCTTTATAACTGGTCCTCGAACACCTTTACATGGTTTGGCTGGAATATTATCCTTAAAATTAATGTTCTCCCAAGGCTCCTTTATCTGCTACAAACCTTACCTGTGCGTATTCCGACTTGCTTTCTGAAAAAGATGAGGTGGGAGTTTGGTAAGTTTCTTGGGCCCACAAATGTCACTGACAGAGTAATCTACTTCTGGCCCACCCTAAAAATAGGGGAGGCATAGGCTTTCCGCACTCTGTTACGTACCATAGGGCATTATATATGGCCAGAATGTTGGACTGGTGCAAAGGGGTCCTGAAAAAGCGGTGGATCTTGTTCGCTAATCCCTCTAGGGGGTCTTTTTTGGCTGGATAGAAACTCTACCTGTCAAGTTCGATCTCATCCGCTTATTGGGGCCACTCTGGATGCGTTTTGGAATGACCGTCAGTGTCTTTTAACGGAACTATGCCCTTCCTTAATGACACCTAGGCTCTCACTTATTCCATAGACACATTTGCACCCCTTGCTACACATAAAATTAAGCCTGGACTGCTGCATTCCTGGCAAACAGACAACACCAAAAGTTTCAAAAGGCATAGCTGTGGTCTTGAGTGTAGCGTAAAACTAAACCCCTGAAAAACTTCACCCTGTATAAATCTGCCTAGGACATTCCCAATCATTTAAAAAACGAGATAAATGTGATTCGTGATAAGATCTCCACTGTTAAGATATCTCCCCACTTAACATGTCTACCACCACATTCAATACTTTCCTCTTTTAACCCTGTTACTACAAAGGAGGTTGCAATTTTTTTCTCTGATGCCCAGCTAACCACCTGGCCCCTGAACCCCATTCCCTCCAACTACTTTGTTCACCTTCTTGGTCTATTCTATACTTTCTAACTTACATCTTCAATCCTCTCTACTGGTATCTTCCCCTCCCCTCTACAACATACTCTGGTCACCTCCATACCTAAAAAGGTCTTGCTGAACTCCCAGTCTGAACAACTTAAGACCCATCCCCTTGCTCCCATTTATCTCCAGACTTATAGAACACTTGAAACTTTAGATTTTTATTAAATTATAAAATATCTGCAATACAACAATGCAACAATGTTTACTACATTCAAAAATTGGATACAGGTTTGGATGTTAGCACTTATAAGACTTATACAACATCCTCTACTAAACCTTAGAATTCTTCCACCTGTGGGTCGAGAATGTCAAAATGGTCACAACGGAATGTAGCTGTAATTAAACCTCCCTATGTGAATCCCACAGTGAAAGTATCCATGTCAATCAACATTTCCAACAGTAGAATAACTCTGAGAAGGAACATACTATACTAGAGTGTATCTATCAGGGAAGGGGTAGGAACAAATGGGTGGGGAGATGACAGAAGGAAGGATCCTTACATATAAGGAAGGGCATGGGATAAGAATGACAGAGAGGAGGAGCTATGGGTACACAAACAATGAAGTAGTGGCACAACGTGAAACCTAGTAACGTCTCTTACTTTAAGTATTTTGTTTAGAAAACCTGATCCATGAATCCCATCTCTTATGGAAAAGGTTCTCAGAGTTCACTCTATAGGCAATTATTCTTTCATAGTGACAGTTTGAGGACACTCTATGAATTACGTCTGTAATGGTTGGAATGATGGGGCATTTCCAGTTGCAAGCTATGAGAGTCCTAGCTGAGAATAGTATATGCAGGATCACTGATCTATACTTAGGAGGGTATTTGTCAATAGAGATACTTAATAGCGCCATTTCAGGTGAGAACAAGGATTCTATTCCAGTAAATGTGTGAATAATGTCTGAAATAGAACTCCAAAAGACCTTTATTCCACTACAGGACCAAAATATATGGTATAAATTACCTACATGTCCACACTCCCGCCAGCACAAGGGGGATGTGGTCGGGAATATTTTAGATAATCTAAATGGGGTGAGATACCATCTGGTCATTATCTACTAATAGAGAAGCATAATAGTAATGCTTTAGATTTGGGAGCCCCATTCCCCCTTTATTTTTGCTGCGCCACATAGTCGTGCGTCTCACTCTGCTTTTTTTCCCCTTCCATATATAACCATCAATTATACGCTGCAGCTGTAAAAAGAATGATGCTGGAAGTAAGATAGGGATGGTCCGGAAATAATATAGGATTCTAGGAAGTATGAACATTTTAAATGACGAAATTCTCCCTATCCACGACAACTCAAATTTGGCAATCCGGGTCAATTCAGATTTTACAGACTCTATAAGGGGCAGGAAATTACTCTTATAAGTATTTTTGGATGATGATGTGAGTTTAATTCCCAGGTATGGGATCTGTGACCTATCCCATTTGTATAGATAGTCAGCCTGCAGAGCATTCATATCAGATTTTTTCATATGAAGTGGTAGGATAAGTGACTTTCCTGCATTAACCTTGTAATAGGATAAGTTGCTGAACATTTGAAGAGTATTCTGTACCGCAGCCAGGGAAGAAGCCGGCTTAGAGTGTGTGAGGATGATATCATCCGCAAAAAGGCCAATTTTGTGGACCTGGTGTCCCACCTGGATTCCTTCTATTAGCGGATTGTTTCTAATGGCCATTGCTAAGGGTTCCATGATAAGTGAGAAAATAATTGGTGAAAGTGGACAACCTTGTCTTGTACCATTTGTTATAGCGAGTGGGTTAGACATCAAATTGGACGAATATACTTGGGCTGTGGGTTTAGTGTATAATGCTAATATTGCCGAGAGAATATGCCCCCCCATGCCAAATTTTTGGATTACCCTAGACATATAGCCCCAATGAATACGATCAAACGCCTTCTCTGCATCTACAGCCAGAAACAGGGAAGGCATTTTCCGCACCTCTACATATTTGATGAGGTTAAGCATTCTTCTGGTCCCATCTGAGGCCTGACAGCCTCGGACAAATCCGACCTGGCCCGGACCTATTAGGAGTGAAGTAATGGGCAATAGTCTCTCGGCAATGAGCTTAGCATATAACTTAATATCCGTGTTGATAAGGGATATAGGTCTATAATTTTCAGTGTTAGCCGGCTCCTTGCCTGGTTTGGGCAGAGTAACAATAATAGATCTTAACGACTTATAGAACACTTAAGCTGGCCTGCTGAACAACGAAAATATAACAGATTCCACCATCAATGCTTACCAGTGTGGATGGAGGAATCCTTTGCGATTTTCAATGTATTCTGACAGCAGCCAACTACTGCTGTCAGAATACCCGAACGGAGTTTGTAGCTAATTGGCTGAAAGCTCCGTTCAGCAGAGAATTTCCAACCTGCTCCTTCAATCAGCTGATCGAAGGATGCCAGGTGGAAGGGTGCAGACAGCGGCACCCACTGTGTGAATTTCATCTGGTTCATGCGTGTATACCCTACTTAAGTCTACAACAGTCTGAGCTCCAGTTTTAATGATAACAACCTTCTCGACACCTTACAGTCTGGCTTTCACCCGCAACACTCCACAGAAACTGCCCTACGAAATTTTGCTAACTGCTAAAACCAATGGCCATTACTTCTTACACATAATGTTAGATAGTTCTGCTGCCCTCCATTCAGTTGACCATACACTCCACTTCAACAAAACTCCACTCCCTTGTCCTCCAAGACTCTGCTCTTTCCTGGTTCTCATCCTACCTATCTAATTGCTCATTCAGTGTCACCTTCATCTAGGTCCTCTCGCCCCTTCCTTTTTTCATAGGGGTCCCCCAAGCCTCTGTCTATCTAAACCTCCTCCCTTGGTCAGTTGATAACCTCCCATTGCTTCCAATACTATCTCTATGCTGATGAAACCCATATCTATCTCTAACTGACATATCAGTTTAGATATCACACCACTTCCTAAAACATAATCTTTCCAAAACTGATTTTATAATATTTCTTCCCCCACTCCCTCAACCCCATCCCACCTCCCCTGACCTTTCCATCGAGACCAATATTCAGTCCCTCCCATCATGCCAGGATGCTAGTTGTAATCCTGGACTTTTCAGCCCCACATCCATTAACTTTCCACATCATGCTGCCTTCTCCTACATAACATTTTAAAAATACTCCTCTTAACCAATGACACCATCAAACTACTAAAGTTCCCTCCCTGAACCTCTCCCAACCCCTGGAAATCCCTACCTCAATCTGTCTGGCTATCTCCTACTCTGTCCTGCTTTAGGTGATCCCTAAAAACTCATCTCTTCAAGGACGCCTATCCCGCCTCAACCTAACAACTGTACTTTTACTTTCTCCAGCAACTCATCCCCATCCATCAACCTATCCCCACAGTGTTATTACCTTTTTTGTAGGGTTTCTTATAGTGCTGCATTGCCCTTTAAATTAGGCTATTTGACTCTAGAACGCAATCGAACAAAAACAAATATGTAAATTAATGTTGAAACTATAATCTGTATATTCCAGTTGCCCACACTGACCACTGAGATGATCAAAAAGAGAAACACATCATATAAAGACTTTAATAAAGTAGTACATTAAACAACCAAATGACTAACTAAATGAGGCTAATGAACCTTTTGAAATGACATGATATTGAGTTTTTATCCTTTGGAATATTTCTTTTTTATTAAAATGTACTTTAAATCTAAATTATTAGATTAATTTAATATGAGCAGCAATTTACTGTACTCAGACAAGTACTTTCCCTTTTACTGTGCTCCGACACAGCGTCTAGATACATGCCTAAACAGCAGAAAGCAAGTAGATGGAGAGAGAACTTTGTACTTGGCTATGGAGGTATTGGTGAAATGGAGAAGGTATATAGTTGGGTGGTCACCTAGGTCACCCATGGTGAGCTGCTTCAGGACATCCTGGACAGAGTCCCAGAAATGCCGAATCTTGGGGCAGTACCAGAAGACATGGGACATCGTCCCCGTCTCGGATTCACATCTCCAGCAGGTGGAAGGCACCAGTGGGTTGATCCTGTGTACCTTATACCACTTGAATAAAATCTTGTAGCCTTGTTCCTGGAACTGGTTAGCAATGGATGCCTTGTGAGCAAAGAGCAAGATTTTTTCCCATTGTACATCTGAGAAGACCTGACCCAACTCAGTTTCCCATTGCCAAAGGAAAGGAGGACAGTAGCCCTGGGGAGGAGACGACAACAGCCTGTAGATGAAAGCAATAACGTGTCACGCCGGTTGCCCCTGTCTGCACAAGGTCTCAAAGGGCGTCAGGCCCCTGACTGGGTAGGCGGAGCGTGGGATAGACATGAGAAAATGTCAGAGCTGCAGTGTCGTCCAGTCAGAAAGGGGAGAAGCCGCCAGCGCACGGATTGAGGGCTGAGAGAGCCATTGATGACCGGCAAAGAGGTCCAGTAGGCGGAATTTGTTAGCTAAGTATAGCCCTCATAAACGGGCATCATCCATGCCGGATGGCCGCCAAAGGCCGCGTCACCCAGCACAGGAGTCATGGGGGAGGGAAATGGAGAGACAGAAGAAGTCCTACATGTTTCTCCTGCTGTCCGCAGGGTAGCTCCGATAGTAGGGTGAGAGACTAAGGATGGAGGGAGTGAAGCAGTTATCCATGGCAAGGCCTCGATGAGCACGTTGTGTTCCTCTAGTTCCCTGTTAACCCATTGTTTGCAGTCTGGACCGCTCGTTCAGTCCACCACTCTAGCGAGGTGAATGGACATATAGTATAGGGAGGTTCCAAATACCACTGTGGCTATCCACTGTGTCACTCTGATGAAGGATCCCTGTGAGAACCCGAAATGTTAGCACCGTATGACATGATGTGACTTTCTTCACAAAATAAAATATATCAATGGATTATTGATATTTGAATTCCCAAGTGTGTGCGGGTGATATTTTTGTATCTACTATAGTATAGGGAGACGGCTGGAAAACCGCCCTTCCTTACCGTTTAGGCATAAAGAGGATGTGGTGCCCTATTATAGGGGAGCGACCCGCCCAGATAAAGGTGGTAAACAGTGAAAAACACAGATGGAAGACGGATAGTGAGGGCTTGCATGAGAAACAGCAGCTTCGGGAGAATGGTCATCTTAATTGAGTGCCAGACAACGTCAGGTACAAAAAAATTCCCCAGCCTCAACCTGCCAGCCAGCCTGCAACCAAATTTTTTTTTTTGCATTTTTGATTGCTGGGCCTCCAGTGCGTCCCTGCACCTTATTAGGAGGAGTTGGCTACCTCCAGGTACACCTGCATGTAATTTATCAACTTCATTAATATGCTCACACTTGGAGACTCGGATACATAGAGTTAGGACCACATTTTGCAGAGCTGCCTTGGCGCAGCAGTGTGGCTTCTACATATTTTTGGCCAAAAGTTTGTGCAACTAAAACCTCTGATTTTAACGCATACTGTTGACAGGGCTACTTGTTTGGTTGCAGGCTGGCTGGCAGGTTGAGGCTGGGGAATTTTTGTGTTTTGTATTGTTGTAAGCCTTCCCAATGTGCGCCCTGCTATAAAGGCCGCTTATAGATTCATGCATGTACCATTTTTTTCTAGTCCAACGTCAGGTACAAACCCTGGCAGCGGGTCAAACAATGCCTGGCTAATGTGGAGGAGTAGAGGTGCATAATTAAAGTCATAGGGATGGGCGAGGTCCGGCGTAAGCATAGGCCCTAGGTATTTAATGTGGGTCGTGGCCCAGTGGAACTGGAAACGAGTCCTAAGCAAGGAAACTGTCGCTGCTGGTAAGGTAAGTAAGGTAAGGGCTTGTTCACACCATTTTCTGGTCCAGATCTGCGAACGCGGTGCAATGCGGTTAGCACATTTTTGACGTATTTTACCGGGTTACAGTTATTTTTTAGCGGGTTCCAGTATGCAGATTTTTGCACTGAGGTCCAGCCTCTCCTTACGAGTACTTCCCTTTGTTTGTGTATGCAAAGCTGATGATCAGACATGTATCTCATGTTTGTAGGCATGGTATTGGTGCTGGCTACAGCAATCTTCAGACAACGAGCTTGCAGGAGACGTCGTTATTGGGTACACCCGATCTTGAGGCTCAGGGACTCCAAGGGTCAATTTTGGAGTTTATATGAGGATTTGCGAGCTCACCCGGATAATTTTTTTTCCCTTTACTCGTATGGCTATGGAAAGGTAATTGGCATGTTCCAAATGTTTGTAGTTAATGTGTTTTCTAACACAATTATGTGTTGCTAACATAGCTGCGCCCGCTCCATCGTGCAATGCTTGGTAGATGACAATGTCTAGTCTCCATTGCATAATGTATTTAGGAGTTGTCATCACTTCCCACACGTAACCTTTTATTTTTTAGCTTTGACTCGCTCCTATTGATGTTGACACCTGACCTACAGCGTATGGACATTGGTTACCGTAGGCCAATATCACCTACAGAGCGTCTCATCATTACATTATGGTCAGTGATGTGTCCAAGATATATATGATATAATGTGTGAGTACAGTATGCACTATTAACCACCTCCCGTCCATGACCGTTCCGGAATGGCCGGACAGGAGTCTTGTAGGAGCGGGAGGGCGTCTTAAGACTCACATGAGTGGGGAAACGGTCAGCATGTAAACAGCCAGCAGTGGCTGTTTACATTCAAGCGATCGGGCATCTCTAGAGAAGCCCGATCTCTTGTACAAGCTGTGGGTACTAGCTGTGCGCCCCCGTACCTCCGTCACCGCCATCCTCGTTGCCGCCGCTTTCGGTCCCGAGACCCGCTGAGCCCAGTGCGTCTGGGACCGGCACGGCGACGCTGTCAGTGAGATCAAAGGGAGATCAGTACCCCACCTCCCTTTGATATCTTCTCGGTCCCTGAATGCAGAAAGTGATGTACATTACATCACTTCCTGCATTCAGTGTCACTCTCCTGTACAAAACACCGGTGAGAAGCTGATGAAGCAGATATCTGCTTCATCAGATTCTCTGGGGGTCCCTAGGTGACATTAGGGGTCTTAGAGACCCCCGATGTCTCCATAAAGAGGACCTGTCATGTGAATTGCCTATCACATAGGGGATTTCTTAGTCCCCTATGTCAGGACTCAAAATTGGAAATTTGGGTCTCCAAGTACCGGTCTGCGGCCCAACTCCGGCCCGCGAGCCGGTACTATGTGGCCCACAGCCAGCTGACATGTCAGGCAGACCGCGTACCTGACTTGCGGGAGCATCTCCACAGTCTGCATCTGTGTTGGATGCAGACCGCAGAGCAGCTCCTGTCAGCTCTGGCTTCCTTTGGCCGGAGCTCTGACAGTTCTGAGCTCCGGCCCAAAGAAAGAATGTATGTGAGCAGGTTCGATCCCTGGTTATCTGGGGGATGATAGTGAAGTCTGCTGCAGATCTCTCTCTTCACTCACAGATAAACCAGGGATCGATCCTGCTCGCCAGCCTCCTCCCTGCAAAGACGTGAACAGGTGAGGGGGCTGGGGGGAAGGGGTTGAGTGTATTATAATTTTGCGTGGGGGGTTAATAAGGGGAGGGGGGTATATTATTCTTTGTGTGTGGGGGGTTAATAAGGGGGGGGAGTGTATTATTTTATGTAGGGGGGGTTAATAAGGGGGAGCGTATTATTTTATGTGTGGGGGTTCGTACGATAATCAGCAGGTGTGTGGACACCTATAGTGTATGTGTATATTAGGCCTCATTCACACCTACAGTATATTTCAGGTGTGATTAGAGATACCTGTGTCAGGAACTTGCGTTTTCCTGCAGCAGGAATCCCTAATCTGCCGTTTACAAGCGGCAACTATTATAAGATAAGAATTATCATAAGATTATTTAAGAGGGTGTGTTTAGGGGCGGAGTTAAGGCCGGGGCAGGGTAAGGGTTAGGTGGGGCAACTGGTGGCTAGTGACTCTTAAGGCCTGGCTAGTAGCTCAGGACTTTAAATTTTGAGCCCTGCCCTATGCGATAGCAAGAAAGTTAAGTGTAAAAAAAAAGCATAAATAAATAGTCACAAATAATAAAAATGTAAAATAACACAATTTTTTTTTTAAAGTCCCCCCGCCCCCCACATACACAAGCAAACATGCGTAGGGTGTGCCAAAATGATACAATTTAGGGAACTTTTTTGTTATATAGTAAAAAATAAAAACCAGAGTGGTGATTATATACCACCA